TACTTATTTTACTTTAAAAACCAGGTGTAGGATACGCCTCCTCTCGGAGATCTGGGTTGTTAACCTTGACGCTTGATACTAGCAGAAACGTCAAACGTTAACCGTAAAACGTCAAACGTCAAACGTGAAACGTCAAACGTCAAACGTTAAACGTCAAACGTCAAACGTCAAACGTCAAACGTTAAACGTCAAACGTCAAACGGTAAACGTCAAACGTCAAACGTCAAACGTCAAAAACGTCAAACGTCAAACGTCAAACGTCAAACGTCAAACGTCAAACGTCAAACGTGAAACGTCAAACGTCAAACTTTTTGGTGCATATACCCCCATTTTTCCCATTTAAATCAAGTGAAGATACACGCTAAGGTCCTTATGGCATTGCGCATGATTTTTTCTTTTCAACTTTAATCTATATCACGCTCTCTTCATAATGCCGTTTTTCCCATTTAAATCGAACCAACGATAGCTGAGATACACGCTAAGGTCCTTTTGTCCTGTCATTGCGCATGATTTTTCTCTTGTATGTTAATCTATATCACGCTCTCTACATAGCCCCCTTTTCCCCATTTAGATCGGACCAACGATAGCTGAGATATACGCTAAGGCCCTTCTGGCTTTACCACTACGCATGATTTTTCTATTCGACGGTAATCTGTACCAAGATCTCTTCATAATGCCGTTTTTCCCATTTAAATCGAACCAACGATAGCTGAGATACACGCTAAGGTCCTTTTGTCCTGTCATTGCGCATGATTTTTCTCTTGTATGTTAATCTATACGCCGATCTCTACATAGCCCCCTTTTCCCCATTTAGATCGAACCGACGATAGCTGAGATACACGCTAAGGTCCTTTTGTCCTGTCATTGCGCATGATTTTTCTCTTGTATGTTAATCTATACGCCGATCTCTACATATACAGTACGTTGTTTAATATAGCCGTAAGTATAATGAAATTAGCCTTTAAGATGGCCATATTTGCGTCGGTTGGATTCTTCTAAGTGGATACTGATTAGGATAATATCTCTCAAAGCCTTTATCCCAAAGACTTAAATTTGTCAAATCTCTTAAAACTTGTTTTTTATCTTCATATAATTTTATGTCTCTTCTTAGTTTTTGAACTTTTATACCAAACTCTTCAATTCTACGTCTATTCTCTTCGCTAGACATTTCAATACTGAATACTATACTTATTTTACTTTAAAAAAATATTGTCGGGTGTAGGATTCGCCTCCTCTCGGAGATCTGGGCTGTTAACCTTGACGCTTGATACTAGCAGAAACGTCAAACGTTAACCGTAAAACGTCAAACGGTAAACGTAAAACGTCAAAAACGTCAAACGTCAAACGTCAAACGTCAAAAACGTCAAACGTCAAACGTCAAACGTGAAACGCCAAACGTCAGTCGTCAAACTTTCCGGTGCACATACCCCCATTTAAATCGACCCACGTGATACACGCTAAGGTCCTTATGGCATTGCGCATGATTTTTCTCTTGTATGTCAATCTATATCCCTCTCTCTATATAACCCCCTTTTTCCCGTTTAAATCGGACCAATAGCAGTGAAGATATACGCTAAGGTCCTTTTGTCCTGTCATTGCGCATGATTTTTCTCTTGTATGTTAATCTATATCACGCTCTCTTCATAATGCCGTTTTTCCCATTTAAATCGGACCAACGATAGCTGAGATATACGCTAAGGCCCTTTTGGCTTTATCACTACGCAAAAATTCTATTCGACGAAATTTAATCCCCCCACTCCCCCCACTACCCCGTTTTCCTCTCAGACCGTCTGTCTCACTCTTAGCCATTGAATATGTACCTTTTACTCTTACACGTTGAATTCCCTATGTGGTGGAGAACCCGCTTTGTCTATCTACTAACAACTTTCCTTTTTTTTAATTTTAGAGTCCTATAATCCATAATAAAATCAAGAAATATTATATTCGTCTGACATCTGACAAATAACAAAATTTTATCTTAAAACCGTTGAATAAATATTTAACCCGGCTTAATTGTAGCCCATTATAAAGGAGAGTAAACTCTATCTACGAGAGTCATTTATCGAACACAGTCCTGGCTGGTTCCTTATGTTTTCGATAATGAACTTTTCCCTGATAGTAATAAAATATTTAGAACGGATAGAATTATTTCTATTACTAATCTTAACCGAGGTGGGGGTGTACTATTGACTATTGACCATATTATTGTATATGATCTTGTTGATTCAAACTCATACGAATCGTTTGCTAAACTGGTATCTATTGATATTTTAGCGATAAAGATAAATATAAGTAGTTGATCCTTCTATATATTAATAATTTATACTCCTTTAACAACAGCACTTGATCAGTTTGAACAACGCAAGCCTCAAAACCTGGCCAAAAACCGTTTTTTATTTTAATCGTGTACACGGAAAAAAATTGTAGAACAAATTTCTACAATTGTAGATTTTTTCTCTACAATAAATAGTACATATAGGGACAGGGACAATTTGTAGTAAAAATTTCCAAATATTTGTGGAGAATGTATTATAGAGTTATTATCTACAATATTTAGTAAAAAGATCCAAATGCATCATAAGAATTGTTCAACAAATTGTTATAATTTTTGCTATTTATTGTATGAATTTATATTAAAAATGTATTGCGTTTTATGAAAATAAATACGAAAATTTTACACAATAAATAGTAAAAATTCATACAAATTGTAGTAATTTTTAATAAAATTTGTAGTAGTACTCCATAATTATTATAATTATAACCTAGAAAAAAATGTTCCTTAATAAAATATTCAATTTATTGTTTTAATATAAAAGATACAAATTCTTAATTAAATTATGTAATTAATAACAGTAATAATAAAGCCCTCAGTCTCAGTTGGCTTTTCTGCACCTAAAAAATATGAAATAAAAATTAATACCAATTGAATTGTTCATACCCTTAAAACGATGATATTTTTCTCTTTTACACTGATTTGGATATTAAATGACTAAGTCAGATAATTAAAAAAAATGAGAAAGTAGGTATGTCACAATTAAGACAAAAAACATCATTGAACTTGGCACAAAATTCGATCGTTGGGCACAACATTTGAACGTTGGCCACAACTGTTTTTTTAAAATAATCTACTAAGGTTATTTAAATTAGTTATCAAAAGGTAAATTATTCAGAAACAATAATAAATGTACTTACCACCAATAGAATTTATTATTAAAATTTTCTCAAACACATCGGTGCTTATAATATATTAATGTGTTATAGGTACTCGTATATGTACCATGCTTTGTTATGTGAACATGGCGAATGGCTACTGCTGTCTGGCCGTTTATGATCAACGTCAGAAAACGTTGGCCAATAGCATAATTCTGTTTTGTTCACATGACTTAGAATTTCTACAATATTATAGAATATTTTTGAAGAAGGGATGTAAAGTATTACTATTTTTTGTAGAGAAAATTACTATTTTTTGTAGAGATAATTATTAATATTTGTACAAATTTTTACAGAATTTAGTAGTAGTAATTAAGATAATTGTAATAAATGTCTACTTCTACAAACAATAGTAAAATATACTAAACATTGTGGACTTCTTTCCTATTGTTGTAGCATTTTATTCGACAATTCAATTGCTACAATAATTAATAGTTTTTAACTATAAATTGTAGTAAAATTTTCTACAAATTGTTAAGTATTTTTCTACAAGTCTACTACTACAACATTGTAGTAAAAATTTCTAGTCACATTTTTTTCCATGTAACTACCCTAATTTGTCATTTTTAAAAAGCTAAATAGTGACTCTAGCTAACAGCGAAACGAATAAAGCGCAAGCGCGACACAGCTCGTCACACGGTTAATCGGTAGTTACCGTTCGCCTACAGTGATTTATGATTCTTCGAAGTGCGTAGATGTTGTAATTTTTTAAAGTCTTGTGGTTTTACGCCAAAACAATTTAGAATTTGTGTTTGTGATGGATTGTACTCAGCCAGGTATGTACTTTATGTAACTCTATTTTTTCTAATTTATATCCACCATATTCTTTAATTTACGGTCGATAACATAGAGTTAAAAAAAATGGTTAGCTGCTCGTAAAATGAAAGCAAGATTCGAGGAAAACAATGCTGAATGGTTAAACGGAATTATATCGCTACCTAGTGCAGGTACGTAGAAAGCTATACTAGATGCTTGCAAACTCTTTACTATTATTAATATTCATATTATGTTGGGCGTTTCTGTGTAGGGCAAAGACTTTTTTACAAGTTTTGATAAATATTTCTTGCTTTTGTTACAGGAGTCAGTCCCGGTCGTCCTATGAAATCTTTTTTAGGCTCAAGTGAAAGAAGTAAGAGAAGAAAAACCGAAGACCTTCGATCAAAAGACGTGGAGGAATTGATTTATGCTACACAAATGAAATTTCGGGAGTCTGGCAAAGTCCATGCATCAATAATCTTGAAAGATCTAACGACAAGTCCCCAAAGAGCAGAAACATATGCATCAGCTATAAAAAAAAGTAGTGGACATGGGCAACCTCGCTATTTATCACCTTGAAGGACACCGATCTGGTGCGTGTGAACTTGAGACTCTTAATTTTTTATTTAGGATTAGGTTTCTTTTAAATTTAAGTAAATCGAAACACCGAGTAAGTCAAAAATAAAACTTTAATGAAACAAAAGAGAAAGAATCTCTCTCTGCTCTTCCGGACCACCAATCTCCTCTCGCCGTTCCTGCGGCGGGGTGGGAAGGAACCATCTCGTACTGTCTTACGTCATCACACTCGAGAGTTTTGTATTATCAACACATCCTCACAGAGGCGGCCCGTCACATCCTTTACGTGCTTTGTCCATGTATACAGAAGCGGGACTCACTAAAGCCCAATATGAGAGAATACGAGAAACAAATGCTTTTTTCCGTGCTACTCTGTTCTCCAAAAAGTAAAAAACGAATGCTATCCGGAAATTCACCTTGTAACAGAGACATGTGCTGAAGTAATAGTGCAAAAGTTGATGGATCACACAGCAACACTACTGATTTTACATCTTGGAGAAGTTATAGAATGTTTGAGTAATGACGAAAAACGATCCTTAATTTTATTCAGCAAGTGGGGTTGTGACGGGTCACTGCAGATAGAATATAAAATGAAGTTTGATCATGAATGTGATTCAGATGCCAATATATTTCAAAGCTCTGTAGTTCCACTTCAATTAGTTTATGGGCCCGAAAAGAAAATACTATGGCAAGACCCAACACCATCATCACTTCGATATTGTCGACCTAAACGAATAAGATTTATTAAGGAGACAAGTGACATAACAAACGAAGAAATAAATTATTTTAAATCACAAATTACTGCAATTTCCCGCACAGAAATTGAAGACATTTCCATCAAACATAAAATGTTATTCACAATGGTGGACGGAAAGGCGTGCAATGCCGCAACACATACCAAATCAACGATGAGGTGCTACATATGTGATGCTACTTCATCAGAGTTTAATGACTTAATAAAAAAGAGGGCAAGCAAGGAAGAAAATTTAAATTTTGGTCTTTTCCTTCTACATGCTCGCATACGTTTTTTTCTAGAATTTATTACATGTAGCATATAGACTGCCTGTAAAAAAATGGAAGGCCCGCCTTTCTGTCGAGGAGAAACAATTGGTAGATAGTAAAAAAAAAAAGAAATTCAGAATGAATTTAGACAACAACTCGGGCTTTTAGTCGATATCCCCAAAGCAAATTTTGGGAACACCAATGATGGGAATACCAGCAGAATATTTTTTGAGAATTATGAAATATCGGCGACAATACAGGAGTTGATAAAAATTTAATATATCGGCTCAAAGTGATTTTGGATGCATTGTGTTGCGGATATAAAATAAATGTAGCTGAATTTGAAAAATATTGCCAAGAAACGGCTGAACTATACGTGGCTCTATATAGTTTTTACCCCATGCCCCCTACACTGCATAAGGTTTTTCGTCATAGAGCAGATATCATACAAAAAGCTATTCTTCCGATAGGCCAACTATCAGAAGAAGCTGCTGAAGCTCGCAACAAACATATAAGGTAGTATAGATTGTAAAGTTTTCACGGGTATCTTGCAATGGGGATGTCCTGAATAGACTTCTATTAACTTCCGATCCCCTACTAACTGATATGAGATACGTCTCAAATAAGAAAAAAAAAATCATTATCGTCTGATGTTTTAAAGTTACTATTAGAAAGTGATATAACAAATGTGAATATCAGTGAAGATAGTAATAATAGTAGTAATAGTAGTAGTGACAAATAAATGCTTTGATATCGAAATAAGTCTTTATTTTACCATTTTATAGTATACAATCCCAATAAAACCTAGGTATGTAGTAGTAAGAGGTATAAAATATGTTTGGCCAGGTTTTGGGTCTAAATACCACACTGTGCAACGGCTCGAAGCTTTAGAGACTCTTGATTTTCTATTTGAGAATATGGTTCTTATTCTTGATGATTTTAATATTACAGCCTACGCAGATTATATTAGTAATAGGCAAATTAATTTTTATGTATCTTTGATAAATAATTTTGCAGATGTGATTAATACCACACAACCAAATAATGTTTAACCATCTAAACAGAATGCTTGATCTTGTCTATTTTAATGATTGTTGTACATTTTTTTTTTAGAATAAAACGCAACTTAAATAAAAATTTTGTCAAATCTTATGAGAACTTTTATAACTACGGTAAAGCAAATTTTCCCCTGATGTACCATCTTATTAACAGAATAGACTAGGGCTTCTTGGAGGTTTTGTACAACGCTGATAATGCATGTTCTTATTTTTATGGTAAGCTATATAATATATTTGATCATTGTGTTCCAACGTACTCCGTAAATTCTAAGAATCAGTATACCCTTGGTTTAAGTTTTCAGTTATTTTAAAAATTGAAAGATAGGCAAAGTTTTACTCACTATATAAAAAATATTATGCTGAAGCAGTCTTTAGGGAGTTTCAAAGATTAAGAATTGATATTAAGGCAGTTTTAGGTACGTTGTATTCTTATTATGTAAAGACTGCTGAATTAAAGATATGTTCAGACCCAAGCAAATTCTGAGCGTTTGTTAATCAAAGACGTGGAACAACTTCAGTCTTCAATGCAATGCATTATAATGGCAATGAGTTGAATGACGCTTCAGATATCGTAAATTCTTTTGCAGATTTATTTATCAAATCGTATATCCTATCTACGCCTGTTGATGTTGACGCTTTTAATGATGTTTTAGTACATGAAGATTCCTTATCTTTTAATAATTTTACACAAGATGAAATTCTTTCAGCGATTAAACAAAATAGTTACGGGTCCTGATGATATTCCCGCTTTTGTGATTCGCAAATGAGCTTCTTCATTGCCTTATCCATTAATGTTGCTGTTTAATGTATGTATTCGAACTTGTACTGCACCAGTCAAATGGAAATCGTCAAAAGTTTGTCCTATTTTTAAAAAAGGGAACAAATCGGACTAAAATAATTTCAAGCCCATCTCAATCATTATTACAAATAAATTAGGGCTGAGGAATGAATCCTATTAAGCCCAAAATTACAAGTTTAATAACAAAGACAATTATTAAATAAGTAATTAGCAAATTAAAAAAGTCATCGAGTCGATTTTTGAATACATTTACTGACTGTGCGCGAACAACACTCGAGGGTAAATTATTCCAAGTATAGAAAACTCTGTTACAAAAAAAGTTTTGTAAGGTATGTGTTTTAAAATTTTCTTTGCTCAATTTATACTCATGTCCACGTAGGCGCTCATCTGTATTCCGTGGGAGTATACTATAGAGGTTGGATGAAAAAGTACCATGAAGAATTCTGTAAGTCACATTAAATCACCTCTTAATCTTCTGTAGGAAAATGAACACAAACTCGCCATATTAAGCCGTTCTTCATACAATGGTCTGATTCTGTCGAAAGATATTCGAGTAGCGTAGCGTTGAACATTTTCCAGTCTTTTTTGATCAGAAACCAGATCAGGACACCACGCAGGTCCGACATATTCTATCAACGGTCTAACGTGTCACGACCCCCTTTTCTATGGGTCTAAAGAATTATTTAATGTTATTAATTCGTGCTACCTTTCTTTATGAAATAAAAGTCGAGTTGAAATATAACAATTTTATTAATCAATAAATAATTAATATTCAAAAATGTATAACAGATAATAACAATAATACAATATAGAAGGCCTTACCAAAACATCCCCGTTAGTGGCACGTCACGACGCTTACTCCAAAAACTAAAAGGTATCTATTACTTTAGATACCTCTCAGTGCAGTGCTGTCCTCGTAACAGTAATCAGTGTCGAATTTATACCTATTAACTATTTGCTGAATTTGCTATTTCTTTAATTCGACACAATTAATGCAGGTCGGTAATAGTTGAACGTCTATGTTGCCCACGAAGCACTTGATAGAATGAACCGAGCTAAGAATGTTATAGTGCGTGGAATTACTGAAGCACCTGGTGATAACGACACTAAAAAGAAGCATGACGAATTTGCAGTTAAACAAGTTTTACAAACTGTTGGCTGCTCTTCAACTCCCGTAGCGTTTTTCCGACTTGGCAAGCCCCAGTCAAACTCAAAGTACCCACGTATGATTAAAGTTGTCCTGCCCAATGAATATGATGCCCGCTCTGTATTAAGAAATAAAAAGAAACTACTTGAACACCCTACCACTAAAAACTTTTCAGTAATCACCGATCAAACGTCTATTCAAGTTCAAGTTATTAAAGATTTACGGGCCGAACTAGAAAACAGAAAGCAAAATGGTGAAACAGACATAACCATTAAGTATTTGCAAGGTGTGCCAAAAATTGTTAAAAACTCTTTCAAGTCTAACTCTGCCACTATTACTTCTTGGTCATTTTTATATACTAACCTGGATTCTCTTAAAGCCAAATTTGACGAGTTTTTATGTAATGTTCAAGATCTCAAACCGCATTTAATATTTATCACGGAAACCTGGCTAAAACCATCAGATCCAGACTCGCTTGTTTCTATCCATGGATACAACATATTTCGATCTGATAGACCATTGAAAACAGGTGGCGGAGTTTGTATATATATTTGTGAAGAAATAACCCGTAATTTCTCAATCACCACTGACATCCCAAAAATAGCAGGTATAGATATTTTACTACTTAACGTTTCTAAAGATCTCTTCAATATTAATTTCGCCTGTATCTATAGACCTGGTGATTCCTGCTTAGTTTCAACTAAGCTATTAATTGATAAACTTAATAACTTTTCAACACTCCAAAATGCAATTGCAGTTGGAGATTTTAATTTTCCCGATATTTGCTGGCCTATAACTCGTATTCCAGACTCAGACACTTCAACAAGTAATTTTATGCAATTTTTTGCTGACTCTAATTTCTTTCAATTAATAGATAAACCAACCAGGTTTCGAGTTAATAACGAACCCTCTATTCTAGATCTTATCATCACAAATGATGAACAACTTATAACAGAACCTCAACATCTTCCCCCAATAGGCATTTCCGACCACTCAGTAATAATAGCCGAGATCCAAGTTCATATTGAAAGTGTAAACAGTAAGACGTACGATTTATACAGGGTGATCAACTACAACGATGTCAAAATGAACTTAGAAGCTATCAACTTTGATGATATTTTAAAAGAGTTTAACAATGTAAATGATATGTGGAACACTTTTCTATGCACCATTAATGAAATAATTAATAAACATTCTTTTACCAAGAAGTACCGCAGAAATCCGTTAAAACCCTGGATAAATAGTGATGTCGTATCCTTAATTCATCATAAACGGCGACTTTGGAGAAAGTACAATATTTCTAAAAATATACAGGACTTCCGTTCTCACAGAAATTTCTCTAATTTCTTAAAACTAAATATTCGCTCAGCGAGAAGAGACTATGAAGAAAATATTGTAAACTCAGAAAATCACAAAAAATTATACAAATATGTGCGTTCAAATTTATGTTCCAAAGTAAGTGTACCTTTATTGCGTTGCCCAGATGGTACTTTATGTTCTACAGATTTCGATACTGCGGAAATTCTGGCAAACACTTTCACTTCTGTATTTACAAACGAACCTGCCACTACCGCACTACCACATATAATAACCACGAGGATACATAATAGTCTGATTGATGTGCAGTTTAATCCCGAAAAGGTTAGAAATAAATTACTTAAGTTGAAGAACCACTCTTCACCTGGTATTGATGGATTAAGTTCTTTCTTTTTAAAAAAGTATGCAAACACACTGTCCGACCCGCTTTCCACAATCATGACAACATCTTTTAAAACATCTACTCTACCCGACTTATGGAAAATTGCGTCAGTCACAGCTATTTTTAAGAAGGGTGACAAAATGGATGCTTCAAATTACAGACCTATAAGCCTTTTGTCTATCCCATCAAAAATCATGGAAAGCATCGTAGTTGATGTCATGACTAACTTTTTCAAAGAGCATAACGTAATACCAAAGGAACAACACGGTTTTGTTAAGGGTAAATCTACCACAACAAATCTTTTATGCTGTATTAACGATTGGTCTCGCTCACTCGAATGCAAACAACCAACT